CGTTATAATGTGACGGTCAATCCCACTATTCGTTGGTAAAAGAGTAGCTCAAGAGTTGGCGGTGGGTGGTGATGACTAGCTGCCTTCCCTCTAGTCTTACATTACTAAATTAGGTACGGCTAGCGCAGATAGCCCTCGTGTAGCTTTGCGCGAAATTCAAAACAAACCACACAATACAAGCACTCGAATATATGTCAAATAAAAGTAAACAACTGCTATTAGTTGTTTTCATATTTTAAAGGCGTGTACAAGATGGGTAGAAAACTCCGTTCATTTTTATCTTATTTTGTTGGAATATTGGAATCAACAAATGTGCCAATATTGACAAAACTGTTTTCCATTAATTGGGGGCTTATAAAAAAATAAATAATTCCACTGACGACATCTACTTTCTAATAAAATCAACTAGATTTTTGTTTGTCGGTAAACACAAAGCTGCTCAGAGAATTATTTGTGTTGGGCCACCAAAGAGATCGAACCCCAAAGTTTAGTCTTATAAGGTTTTCAAGAATCAAACCTGTTCGCTGTAGTTTAAATGAGTGTATAGCCGAATGAGTTACACAACAAACGATAAAGTTATAATATATTCTTATACATGGTAAATTTAACATTTTTCGTTAGCTGATGAATTTGCAACACATTCTTCGATATGGTCAATTTTATAGATATTGTTAGTTGAACGTAAGAAAATTGAAAATGAAAAAATATATTAAAGGTTCACGAGCCAATTAATTAACACTACAACGATCAAGTTGGAAGCTAATTGGTGAGATTAGAATAGCCATTCAAAAATTACAGATCTGACGAACATTAGAACGACGGCAACAACAACAACGAACATTTGACATGTGTGTACATTTAATTATTGAACGTTTCGGAATAAACACATTCCATCTTCAGCAAGCTATATTGAACTGGGTAAATTATTAGGTACAGAAATTTATAAAACTTAAACATTTTAAAAAAAGTAATTAAAATACAGAATAAAAGGATGAAATAAATTACAAGACAATCAAATAAACAATAAAGAATAGGATATTGCAACAATTATAACAATATTATACAAGTTATTTAGAACAGACTTAACTCTAGCGAAGTTGTGTTATTATTTAAAGTTGGGAGTTCATTTATAATAGATTAAACTTTGTTTAATTAAAAGTTTAATATTGGATGAGCCAGATGAGATGACTTTGAAAGTTGGGAGTTCATTTATATTAGATAAACTTTGTTTAATTAAAAGTTAATATTGGATGATCCAGATGAGATGACTTTGAAAGTTGGGAGTTCATTCATAATAGATAAATTTTGTTTAATTAAAAGTTTAATATTGGATGAGCCAGATGAGATGATTTTGAAAGTTGGGAGTTCATTTATAATAGATAAACTTTGTTTAATTAAAAG